CTTCTTATTAGAGTTGTTTCCTCTATTTCATAATCATAAAAGAGAGGCGAAAGATACCAAAATGTTATTCAAACTCATTAGTTGAAAACAAACTGACAACGCCATGGCCTTTTTAAATTTGTTTGTCTTTCTTTGTTTTTTTCCCCCCCATTAAACAAAACTTTATTAACATATTGACATTGTTTATAGATACCTCAAGTAACGGTGACTTGCCTCGGTAACATTAGTACAGAGCATATGTAATGGTAAGTTGTGTTACTACACAAATTTTCATCAATCCGGATATAATCTATGTCTTCACCTGCATGATTTTTTTTATCAATTGCTTTGTTTACAAAATAGTTTGAAAACACGTGTAGCGTTAAGGAATATCTTTTATTTTTATTTTTACTTACTATCTTAAGAACTATAATGGGTAGATAGTTTGTCTAGCAAAATTGACCAGCAAGACAAGATTTTGACGTTTCCATTCATCACATATCATTCTTGTTTAGGTCGTTTCGGTCTCATGTTGCCTATTGTTTTTTTTATATTTTTTGTTATTTATATAGCATTGTCAAAAATATAAAAATAAGGAGATGTGGTATGATTGCCAATGAGACAACTATCCACCAAAGTTCAAATGAAGTGGATGTAAGCAATTATAGGCAACCGCACGGCCTTCAACAATGAGAAAAACTCATACCGTATAGTCGGCTATAAAACGCCCCGACATAAAAAATATAAAACAATTCAATTGAGAAAACTAACGGACTAGTTTTTAACAAAACAATTTACGAAAAACAAATATGACAGACATGAACCAACGACAACCACTGAACTACAGGCTCCTGACTTGGAACAGGCACATAAATAAGATGTTGGGGTTAAACATATGTGTGAATGCTCAACCTTCCCCTAACCTAGGACAGTGGTGTTAAGCACAACATAAGAACAAACTATCAACATTCCCCGTTTCCATTCTCAATTTTATAAAAATCAGATGAAAATGACTTAACTCATCAGATCGATACAAAGAACACTGTTTCTTTAGGAATTCAACAATACGTCAAACCAAATGTTCTATAACTCTGAAAGAATTTGACTGTTTTGCACTGTCTTGTTTTGTTCTAAATCATGTTTTAATATTTCCCTTATTGCTGAGTTTTTAGTACTCTCTAATCTTTCCGTAAAATAATAATATTTTAAAGTTATAATACGACTTGAAGTTATACACAAATGTTTGCAAAAAGAGTAAGCTCTATATGTAACATTTCAGATAAGGTATTTTATGACTTGTTTGCCTAGAAAATATGAATTTGAAATATTATAAAGATCCTTTATGATTTTTATATATTAATGTATAATTTGTAATTATTGGTGTTGGTAACGACAATAAAAGGTTCTTACACCCTTTATCAAATTGGAATAATTACTTCTGAGTAAAAAAAATTAACAAAAATTGTCTTGCGCACCTGTTCGTGGGCAACTTTAACAATAGTTGACCTCTCAATTTCTTTTTTGTGTCGTTGCTATCTTATTGGCAAATAACAAACGCTCCCTTTTTCATAATTACCAAATCAAGAAACAATTTACTGTAAAGATAATATCTTATTGGAGTAATCGTTCACAAAGAAGAGCTATCGTAAAATCAATTTAGATAAGATTGTGTTGTTTGCACACATGCTTCTGTATAAAATAGGGACGTGTCCTTTTTGCTGTCTAAATGTGTTTATGAGTGATAAAGTTTGTAGAGGGGGGGGGGGGCAATAGGGGGTCCGTTAACATATTAACAACAACTTGATTTTGGTAAAAAAAGTAAACAACAAATATAAAATGCTGATAACAGTAAACACCAACTTTAACTGAATAACACTTAACAACCATATTGAAAAATAGAATAATGTTAAGGTATTTGATTGTTATATCCGAATTTGAGGAATTTTTAAAACAAACTTGCGGGTGTCTTGCAAAAAACAGGAAATGCTCACCCTTTCAAAGCACCCGAGTTCACTCCAGTTTTAATCAGGTTTGTGTTTATGTGTTGTATGTACCTAAATGTATTGTGTACACCGTTTGTCCTATATATATGCTGGCTGCTTGTTGTCTCGGTTTTGTCCTTTGTCTATGGATTTCCCTAAAATGTTCCAAAGTTTTTGAATATTGATCTGAAATGGGTCAGAAAATCTCTCCTGGTAAAAAAAACCCTAACATCACATGAACAAATGAATGTAATTAAAATATCAGAAAAAGGCGTCAACAAATTACTGCAAAACATCAATCGAAATAAAGCCACACGCTCTGATGAACTATGTGGAAAGGTATTAAAGGAAATGAAAGATCATCTTAGTCCTATCTTCACATTCATCTTCCAAAAGTCAATTAACACTCATAAAATACCTACAGACTGGAAACATGCAAACGTCTGTCCTGCATTAAAAAAAGGAGACAAACTAAATGCCATAAATTAAAGGCCAATGTTACTCACATGACTTGTATACTTTGCAAAAAAAGGGAGCATATCATAGCTAGTCAAATAATGGAACATCTTGAAAAAAACCCAATATATTATATGATCTACAACATGGCTTTCTATCTAAACGCTCATGTGAGACACAATTAATATATTTCATACAGGACCTAGCAAAAGACAACAATAACAACATACAAACTGATGTCATTCTGTTGGACTTTGCCAAAGCTTTTGACAAAGTCCCTCACAAAAGGTTACTGTATAAATTACAATACTACGACAGTCATTCTAGATGGAAAACAATCAGAAAAAAATTGACGCAACATCTGGAGTGCCACAAGGCACTGTCCTTGGCCCAATTTTGTTCCTCATTTACATTAATGATTTCCCAGAATACTTACAACATAGCACCTTAAGGTTATTTGCCGATGACAATATAGAAACATCAAAAACAAAGATGATGCATCCAAATTACAACATGACTCAGATTCAGCAGCACAGCGGAAAAAAGACTGCTTAATGTCATTCCATCCATACAAATGCTCTATACTCAGAACCATCCAATTAGATCTTAAATTGATTTATAAACATGTAGATAATATAAGATCATATAACAGCAAATTCAAATCGACAGCTAAATTTTCTAAAACGTAACCTAAACAAGTATCTTCCAAACAAATAAAAGAAAGGGCATACATGTCATTAGTTAGACCTAAGTTTGAGTACAGCTCTTGTGTCTGGGACCCTCACACAAAAAAATCAAATCAATCAAATTGAGATGTCCAAAGAAGAGCTGCATGCCCGCTATACATGTAATAGATACCACAATACCAGCTGTGTCTCAAATATGCTCGAACACCTAGAATGATCTTGAGTGGCCTACATTACAATTGAGACGGATACAAACAAGACTAGTGGTTTTCTATAAAATTATATATACACCAACATTTAGGATCATTTAGCGATCTACCCATAAAATCTTCTTATTACGTCAGACAGCAGAACATGACAAAAACATACCAACCACTATAAACAAATTCAAACCAATAAAGATTCTTACAAATTCTCATTTTATCCGCAAACAAGTCAATAGTACAATAGTTTTACCAGAAATATACATAGGATAACCATGATAACAATCCACAAAAAATATTAAATAAATCACTGTAATATATTTTATTTTTTCTGTTCACCAATGTGACGTGATATTATTAAAAAGTTTATTTCTTTTAAATTGTACATAAGCCAAGCATGCAACGGCAAGTAATAGTCAAAGTTGTTGTGACTGAGTGCGGAAATACGAAGATAGATAGATAGATAGATAGCCAGAAGCGTCCATTTCCTGTTAACGTGGGGATAAATTAAATAGGGGACGGAAATAAACTTAAAGATCTCCAAAGACAGTTACATGTATGCTGTTCATGTTACTCCTTTGAGGGAGCACCATAAAGAAAGAGATTAACAGCAAATTTAATGTGATTAGTGTGAATCTTGAAATTCTTGTAAATAACAGTTAACAGAGATAAATATGTCAAAAACAGTGAACAGATAACAGGAATCCCATTTTCATATAAAACACTTAACAACATTGCCTATTTTAACAGAACAGATAACAGACAGTTGATTGAAAACAGTTAACAGTTTATATATATTCCAAATTACAGTTAACAACACCTTGAAATATCCCAAAACAGGTTAACAGAAAAAGGTATTGCCCGTCCCCCCTCTTTGTAATTTGTAACAAGTTCAATTCTATTTTCAATTTTTGAGTTAAATGTCATTCTATGAGAAACCAATAGTTTGACGTTCAGCTCATATATCAGATTCCTAATTCTTCAAAGCGTGTTTATTGTGAACCATCCTTACGACACCAACTTAATGTAACCAAAGGAAATTATAGTCTTATATATCTTAATGATTTCTACTTACATATTATGTACCATCCGAAAATTTATCAAAATATTAATGACAATGTGACAATTGACCACAGTAATTTACCATTTCATAAGGGACTTTCCGATATGAATTTTCCTTGGAGTTCGATATTTTTGTTATTTTACTTTTGACAAATTCCTTTCTGTCACCCATAACCCATAACAATAATTAAGGGTAAGTATTCATAATTGCTTTATTTTATCTAAGCCACAAGTATGAATGAAGAAATGCAAATATATCATTTATATATATTTATAAGTTTGGTTTTTTTTTTATGTCTGAACGAAAGCAAAATGTTTTATTGATATGAGTTCGTTGTTTAGTGCATTTTTTACCATGCCGATTTTCCGTGATAATATTTATTCGTATTGTAAATATAAAATCAAATATGTAATGGTGAAAAACATTCAAAGTGTCAAACTAGTTCAATAAACAAACAAGTATAAAGTTTAAAGGGACAATTAAAACATAAAGAAAGTGTGTGAAGGTATACAGTTTGTTTTGTAATTTTAATTCCGAAACAAAGCAGGTTGATTCGTAACCAGTGATTCGTCTCAAAGCTTATAAAGTGTGCTAAACAAGTAATTCTTATTTTCATAAAGATCGTCATAAGTGTCATAACATAAACAAATTACGTTGATTTCATACATTACGATGAGCTAAAAATACAACAGCAACGTATTTGTTCAAAGAAGATATTTCTTGTTCGCATAATTCGTTCATTTTCTCGTAGGATAATTAGCTGCTATTGAAGAGGATTTATGCGTAGTAAATTGCTATTATAGTAATTTAAGGTGTTTTTTCATACAGAATAGGGATTAATAAATACTATTTTCTGAACCGTAATGGAAAATCTGTCATCTTCAGAAAGTCTTCAACCGGTGTGTGACAGGCATATAAAGGAAGAACTGAAATATTATTGCTTTTTTTGTCGAAGCCACGTCTGTTCAGATTGTATTTTAGAGCGTCATTCTTCACATGTCCATGACGTCAAGAGAGCAAGTTCAAGACAGAAAGAGATAAGATTTGAGGAATTATTTAATACGCCCGTCCCAGATGTTACAGGTCAACCTGTTAAAAACGAACTAGAACTAGTAGAAATTTTGAAACAAATTGAAGAATATCATCAAAAGACAAAAGAAACCGCTGAAACTATAAAAGAAATAATAGATAATCGAGCGGAAGAATTTCTAAGGCACATCAAGAAAATAAAGAATGAATTACAAGAGGAATGTCGGACAATAACAAAGCAGAATCATACACATCTAAATATAATAAAACAACGAGTCCATTTAAAGCTCAATAAACGTTCAGACAACGAAATTTCCAAAACATTTCAGCAGCTGATTATGAGTAATGCAGATTTAAAATTGGATCTCTTTAGACATAGAGAACATATTGGACGTGATGATGTCAATAAATTGCACTCAAAAATAGACATGCCGGTATTTGAACCAGGTAAAATTGATACCATTTTTATGAAGTCCATGTTCGGAGCTGTGTTAGTGAAAAGAGAGTTCAAACCTGCTACATCTATATCTGAAACCAAATGGGATTACCCGTTTAGGGAAAAGGAGAATATTGAACGTAGGCATACAGAATCAAAACAGACAATGTTAAATTATTTAGAATATGAACTAAACAGCGAAGAAATCAGTACGCGAAAGAATTATTGTAACCGTGTCTCAGAAAATCACAGAAGCATGCAGGGTAATAACTGGACAGATCATTTCAACGAAAAACAAAAGAGTTTTACCAATATTCCCACCAATGCAAAAGAAATTCAATCAAAACGCGGACATCCAGAGCATGATGGAGGCATACATACCGCCATTAAGAACAATAAACCAAAAGGAATCTCATATTTTGATCATAAATCCGAATCTCATGAAACTGATGATGCCAACAATACATATGATAATCTACCACTGCCATTACTGAAATCTACCATACACGATAGCAATTTTTCGCTATCCGTGAACTTTAACCAAAGCGCATCACATCGCAAAGGCAACATTCCTAGTTCTATATTACAACCCGTTCCCCATTTAGCAATCGATTGCGAAGATAAACCAGTTTGTTGTCTTTGCGTAATAGGCTTCGATGTATGTTGGATACATCAGGGGTTTTCAACCACAAATTCTTTGTTTCACTCCGGTGCAAATAAACGAAAGAAAATTGAGTTTAAATTTGTTGTTGAGGATTGGACACTCAAGCCTCCCAACACCGTAATAGCAGTAGACTATAACAATAGAATTGTTAAAATAACCCCAATGGGATTACCTGAAAATACTTTATCCTCGACTCAGAATATTGGCTGGTCTTTTTACCACGTTGATCTACATCCAATTGCAGTGGCATTTTGCAAAAATGGCGATGTATTAGTGTCTCTTGTAGACTCATGGTCTTACAATACAGATAGCAAAAGTCGTCGACAAGTTGTAAGGATGAATGATGATTTTGAAGTGGTGCAAACAATTGAATTTTACGGTACAAAAAGAATTTTCACGACACCAAGGAGACTTGCCGAAAATATGAATGGTGACATTTGTGTATTGGATGAAACAAGTGAGAAAAGAGGAAAAATTTTGATATTTAATAAGGACAGATCGTTGAAGCTTGTTTATACCGGAATCAATGACAGTGAAGAGCATTTCAATCCAAATAGTATCTGCTGCGACAGTGAAGCAAGAATAATCATTTCCGACTATAGTTGTAACAAGCTGCATATTTTAGATCAATCAGGAAATTTTCTGCAATATATTATTCATTCGGAAATTAAAAACCCTTTCTGTATGACAATTGATTGCAAGGACCATTTATGGATAGGGTTAAAAAGCGGGAAAATCGTTTAGTTTAGAGCAGCTGGATGAACCTACTCATCCTAGAGAATTATACAAATTATATAAGGTGTAAATTGACTGGAATTTAAATTAAAATTAAGGAAAATAAATTTGAATTATTGGTTCATTAACGTCAGTTTGCCATCAATTGAGAACAGTCAATTGATCATTGCGAGGAAACATTTTGGAAGATTTATTATCTTCAAGGTATAAATTTAAATAAATGAAAAGGATTGGCATTATGTAACTGTTGTTACTTCAATCAATAAATCATTATGACACAATTTATTAATTTAGTGATAGGGTTTATAGGTACAATCCAATTGCAAAATGTGCCAATTTTTACACAATGTATTTTCTATATCGTTTTAAATCACTTTGAACGTACAACTGAAGAAAAAATATCTTCTGATGTTGAGAGCAAACGGACGACCCATAATACAAGCAATCGATACCAAATGGATCTTTTCTTCTTTCACCTTTACGGATTTTTTTTTCTCGTTTTCTTGAATTGCATAAAAAATTAAAGAAAGTCAATATAAAAGATTTGTACATACAAGGTGAAACGGTGTTTGTTCAAATCGTGAGAAATTTGTTTGCGCCAAAAATGCGTCCTTTTGCACCACAAATCTTTTGCGCCGATGTTGGTTTGCGCCAATGGTTTTAAAGATGCATAGTATCATTTGAGCCAAAAATAAGGTATACGATTGCTCCAATTTAGAACAAAATTACTTCCCTCCACTTTATCCGTGCTTACGACCAGCAATTTACACTGGAAGAGTTAATGTAATCTTAAGTCATTTACTATCACATTGGCTGGAATTTGTAACTCATGACACAAACATAATCTCATCGGCAAAAGTATTTTAACTACAAATTCAGCTTCAGAAAACTTTATTGCAAACACATTGTCGGGCCAGATCTATAATACATTTTCAAATATGCAGTTACAAATTTTCACTTACCATAAACACAATAACACAAATCTATTACACGAGAAACAAAACAAAACAATAATAAAAAATACGAATATTACGTAATAAATATCATAGTGGTGGATCTATACTAAGTTTTTCGTCGCACTTATTTTATGTTTTCTATTGGTATATTTGTATTAAAAGCAAATGCGTCCATTCATTGAAATATACTGGAGATTGAAAGGAAAGTCAATAGAAATTCTCAGAAAATTATGTCTAGTGAATCTATAGTTTTTGAAATTGTAATATTTTGTTCTTTGTGTCCGATTTTCGACTTACGTAAATTTAAATGACGAATGCAGAATTGGCGCCGTATCATTTATCTTTTGTGAGTGCATACAAAAACACTGTATGATATTGATTTCAGTGTTCATGACAAGTACTCCTAAAACTACCTTCATCAGGTATGCGCGAGATCAAAAGTCAAACACATAAAAAGTTTTCGAACATTAAAACAAAACTGATCTGAATAAAATTACTTTATTTGTCCAAGATTTACTTTATTCGAAAAAGCCACAATTCTTGTTTCAGCACAGTTATTTACGCCAAGTACATGTTAAATTTATAACGTGGTTTTCATTTTTACAGCACTGTGTCGATACCTCTGCTGGTGGACTATCAGTCTCCGAGGGTATCATCAGCTCAGTAGTCAGTACTTCAGTACTGATATGATTAATAACAAACCTGTCTAAAGTTGCCCGTTTATAAATTTTGAAATTATAAAAAAAGTAAGGTTTCAAATCCCTCAGGCAAAGTTGGACTTAGAAGGATTTGGCTATTATTTTAGATACTTTTTTATATAGCTTTTCAACTGTTTCGGTTTTATACATCCTTGGCTTTCAAATATTCGGCTTTGAGCGTTCCTGATGAAAGCGCTTCGAACGCATTCAATTTATAACGTGTTGTTTTCATTTTTTTAACCATGTATCGCTTGTTTCGTCAGTTATTATATAAAGTGTTTTCAATTTCTGTATGCGATTTTTGTCTTTGAATTATCTAGAAATATTCAGTTAATCTACTATTAGTTACAGACAGAAAACGAAAGCATACATTTATATTTAATATGCTTAAAATGTGTTGTAAACATTATTCCTCGATTGTGACATTACCGAATGAGACTTGTGTAATTACCATGAACAACATTACGGGTTCCACTTGTGGAGCAGGATCTGTATACACTTTCTGGACACCTGCGATCATCCCGAATCATTTTGGTGGGGTATGTTTTGGTAATCCTTTGATTTACTATGTAGAGTTTTGTGGACTTGTTTGTCATTTATCGTCTTTCACTTTTGTCATGACATTGTCAGTTTTCTTCGACTTCGATTATTGAATTACCCATGGTATCTTCCGCCTCTTTTTTTTACACGTTATCAATAGTAAATTAGTTAAATATTAATAATGAACACTTGCCTTATATTTTGTTTTGCAATTTCTATTTCTATGATCCTGGTCTTGCGACAGATAAGACTTAAATACCACAAGTTTGGCTAACTTCACCATTTAGAATTTTCATTTAAAGTCTTCATATTTGTTTATAAAATTTTTAAAGTAACTCATAATTTCAAGGCTACTACTGGAGTTCATATTGCACTAGTCGTGGAAATGTGTTTTAAATGTGACTTTTTGTCTGTATGGGATGATATTTTATGTATTACATGAATCTTCCTTGTAAAACAGTCCATTTAGACACTGTTATTGTTTATTGGTAAAAAGGAGCATGTAAATGAATTTGTTTTAAAACTGAAAAGAAGTCTAAAATATCGATAAAAATTTATTATGAAAACAAAACGAAATGAAGTTATACTTCCGTCAACGCTAACCCAGCCACAGAATTTCCTGAAGATTTGGTACCTCCATTTCCATGTGTCAGGTGAAGTGCTCTGCGAATTTCTGGAGAGTTTCGTGAGCGAAGGCATCTGCAGAGGATAAGTTTAAAACATTTCCTAAAATTTTGACTGAAAATGCTGTACAGAACAGGGTTTGCTGCTGAGTTAATATTTGCCACAATCATTGTAAACACAATGTATGAAAAATTCTCATGAAATGTTGCTGGTCTAATCGTTTCAACAATAAGAAGAATCTGGTTTGGTGAATAACTTACAAAATAGACTATTACGCACATCATTAACATCTTTATAACACCTCTTCTCGCCTTGAGTGCTTCTGAATGGCGCTCAATGGACGAACCGTTTGCGCTTCGAATAGTCACTCTTCGGTGGAGGCGGTCGGATCCCGTAAATAAGTGTTTTGATATTAACAGATACAATGAAAGTTGAATTCCAAGAGGAATAAAATAGAATAAAACCGATTCCACATATTTGAAAACTTTATAAAATGTTTCATGTTTGTATGGAAACATGATTGTACAGTAAGGGTCTTCCTTTCCGGGCAAAACACGCACATCATTGAAAAACAGAGTTGGCAATCCAGCACCAAAAGCAAAGGGCCATAAACACCCTAGTACAGCGGTAATTCGTCTCTTGTTACAAAGAATATGTGCCTTTATTGGATGGATAATAGCTACATACCTGAAAAATATTAAGACATTTGAATTTTTTATTCTTCATACAAAATTCAAACAGATTTCAGACATCAATCGAAATATGGCTACGATAAATTAGCCTTTTGTTTCATTTCAGGTAATTATAAAAATAAGGAGATGTGGTATGATTGCCAATGATACAGCTATTCACCACAGTTCCAATGACGTGGAAGTTAGCAAGTATATGTCACCGTACGGCCTTTAACAGTTTGAAAACCCATGCCGTATAGTCGGCTATAAAAGGCCCCGACAAGAAAAATGTGAAACAATTCAAACAAGAAAACGAACGACCTAGTTCATAACAATTCAGTTTACGAAAAACAAATACGACGGACATGAACCAACGATAACCCCAGAATTACAGGATACTGCCTTGAGTACTAACAGGATATTTAAAAACCTAGAATATATGAGACAACAGCAGTTTATCAATGCTCAAACTATGTTCGACGTCTGTTTGACAATAGTAACAAATGATCTGAGGGAAACACACGAAGTGAACTCATACAGGAGAGAGACCGGATACATCAACAGCGAAAAGAACTCCTGCTAAGCATGCATCCCCCCCATTCGGATCTAGACTCTTCCAAATTTCGCGAAAGGGAATATTTCACAACTGACAATCTAACAGATCAAACGACTTCTTCATACTCGTGTTAAAGTAGTTTTTGCGTCATGAGCACATCCCTATTAATGGCAACATACAAGAGTGTAATGGTATATACCGGCGCATAGATTTTTTTTCTGTATTTGTTTTCACCATGGGGGTTTGTAAAGTTTTTGCGCACGTAAATCTGAATAACCCAACCACATATTGTGCTTGTATATAGTCAGACTATCTCGATCATGTTTTATTCGTTGTTGTTTTTCTCGATGTGTACGTTTTTTTTTCTCTCGGAGAAGTTTGATGTTGGTTGGTTGGTTGGTGTGGTCCGTTGTAATTTCCAATATTTTTTGTAATACTATAATCTTTTTTTACGACTATTAAATGAAATCGGCATCATAAATAATAAATAATGATAATGAGAAAATAAATGTATTATGAAACTGCAAGAATTAAGACAATTTATCATCTTGCCTCTTTGGTATCTTTTGCCTCTTTTTTTCAATGTCTCCAAATGATCCTTTTGATTCTGTTGACAGTTTCGACTTTTCAACCTTTTACACCACACTTCCACAAACCTTATCAAACAAAAGGTTTCCTATTCAATTGAATGGTCATTTGATAAATCTGACTGCAAATATATTTGCTGCAACTCATTTAAAGCCTCCTTCTCTAATGAGAAAGGTAAATATACTAGATATACTTACTTGAGGTGTGATAAGATGATCGAAGCTGTTAATTTTCTCCTTGATAACATTATGTACGTTTCGGCAATAAAGTTTATTGACAGATTATAGGTATTGTTATGGGCACCAGTTGCGCCCCTTTAACAGCAGACTTGTTCTTGTACTGTTATGAATCACAGTTTATGACCAAACTCAGTAAAGACCCGTCTAAATTGCATTTAATTGATAAATTCAACAACACTTACCATTACCTTGATGATATTTACTCGTAAAATAATCAAGAATTTTCTAAATATACTGCCGAAATTTACCCAAAAGAACTTATTTTTAAATAAATCAAATATGAGAGTAAAAAATGTCCTTTCCTAGATTTAGATATTTCAGTGTTACACGGGAAACTCTACACAAAAAATTTCGACAAAGGGGACGATTTTT